AATTATTTCCAGCACTGATGAAGGGAATTTGCCTCTAAATCATGGTCAAGCTAGAGGTTAAGGGGACAACACCGTTCTTTGCAACATTATGGCTCAAAAAGGATTCCAAAGCTTTTTGTTGTGCCAGGGAACATAAAAAAAAAAAACAATTGCTTGTCAAAATTTAATCACTTGCATATTTTCATGGTATATCACTTGCTCTCATATAAATATTTGAGGTCTGTGTTGCTTTATGAGGTTAGACCAGAATATCTTAAATATCCCTTGAGGGCTTGAAAGGAGCACTATATAATGCCCATTAGGTAAATGTAGAACAATATAGTCAAATACAAAACTTAAACGAAATTTGACTAGCTATGCACAGCATAGTGGGTTTTTTATTCCCCATTAAAAGCAAGTTGAGGTTAAATTACGAATATCACTTGAAAGGCACTGCTACAGCACTCTTTGCTGAGCTGAGTCTGGATTTTCCTTTGTACAAATCAATAATTACAGTGATTGAATTATGAATTTTAGTACTAAGTTTACATAGAATTTCCTTCATGTACGATATAGTAAGCCCATGTAGGCTTGTCATTGGCATCATATCACCGTAGTTTGACCACTGTGGCAAATTAAGTATTTTTTTAAGGATTGTGGATTTTTTACCTGTTTAGGACGTTGGAGGTTCATTCTAATGCCTGATCCTCCCGCTGGTAAAACAGCCACAACATCAAAACACACATCGACACATTCCTTTACTGCCGCCATTTTACTCATCTGAACTCGCCTTATTCTTCTAACGGTCAAACCCATCCCCGCCGACTCCCCGCCTCAGGCTCAAGCCATGCTCCGGGGCAGGGCAGCTATAACAGGTTAGCCTTGGTTAGCTCGGGGTTGGGGCATTGTCAAAGGCAATTTTATCTTTCAGTTTTTAAAACAAGTACATCTTTCGTTGTATATTTTTAAATTTCCTGATTGCGTTCATTACAAAACGAGTAAAAGTTAAGTTGATAATCCTCGTTTGAGTCGTGCACTTTTCAAGCGTACCCGATCGAGCTCCACTCTCTCATTTTTTGACAAATTTTGTTGCTTTCCAGAGATGCATTACTACCAAAACCATGGTTACAGGAGATTCATTCCTTTGGGAACAATTAGTGTTTCCATCATCAAACAGAACCTTGTTTTTTTTGTTGGGTAGGGTATTTGCTATCTTCTCGAAGCACCACCGTGGGGACTTGCTCAAATATTCGAGCCCTAACGTGGGATATTTGCAACATTTGCAACTTTCAAAAGT